ATATTAATGCCATCTTTCTTTATGTTAAGGTATAGATTCTGTACTATCATTGACTTCTTAGAAGGGAAGTTCAGAGATGACATGGCCTATAATATGCAATTCTGCATCAGAAACAGAAGTTTGGTAGTTTGCTCAGCAGATGCAAGATGGGTTTGCAGTGTGGGTTTGACAGAACAAAAAGAAGTCATTGGCCCAAAATGATCGGTGGACCAGCACAAAACGTGTAGCCACAGGACTGCTGCCTATCGCATGACATAAATTATTTGCAAGGCTAACAGTAAATATTTTGCCAAGAATTGCTTCAAGGCCCTAACACTGGGTTACTGCCATTAGTGATGCAGGGTCCAGGTATGCAAGAGAAATGCTCTTTACCTACATCATCTTGCAGTCATAGCAAGGGTGATGTTATGTCACGACAAGGCCTCTGTCGCTGTGGGATGGCATCTGTAACAGCAATGTTGTGCACTATTTTCACCTATTTTTAATACTGCATTATTTATTCTTCTTGTCAGTAAGTGATGGGCTTCCTGATATTTACAAGTCTATTTCCAGCCTAAGATGGGAGCCATAGACTCTTCTTTCTTTAGAAAGCACACATTCAGCAACTCATTTTGCTGCTGAATTATGTTTTTAACAAAAGCCACACAGAAAAAAGATAGAAGGAAAAGCCAAGCAACCAGATCTGGAAGCCATGTCATATCATCTAACTGTTCACAAAACCCAGAACTCATGTGTGAGCGTTCATGCCAGACACTGTGGAACAGGGAAATAATATCAAACTCAAATTTTAAGCTTCATCAGACAAACATCATTGGCTTCCTTTGCTCTTACCTGTCAGGCACCACTGTTTACACTACATACAGCTGGAAGATTTATATGCAAGTGGATTAAAGAGAACATGCCCTTCCTGGTTCATCCCGTGACTGGCCAGTAAGTCCCAGATTTCCTTAGTATCTCTTTTGGCTGTGAGACATAGTACCCTTGAAATGAAACTGTTCATGCTGGCAGAGACACAAAGGTCACTGGAAATGACTACAAATGTGGTAGCAGAGCTGATGATGGCTGTGCTGGCCATCACAGTTCTCAGGTAACTAATCAGCAACTGAACCCAGTTCTGTCAAATTATTCTGTTGGTTTTGGCTGAGGAGTTTTGCCAGACTTTGCATGTGGTACAGTCTGATCTCCTAACAACCTCTGAGTAACCAAAGAGGCTGATCTTCTAGATCTCCTCACAGAACTTTTCTCCTTTTCTCCTGGTGATCTAGTGAACTCAGCCCATGAATCCTGAACAATTGAAGTTCCCGCTAAGAAAATAAAAAAGTGTATTACATTTTGAAAACTTTAAAGGATTCTCCTACATTTTCCATGTTACAGCTGAGTTGGAAATTGACACTTCTACCATTTTGCATAGCATGTCTAGGATTTATATTTTTAAACAAAGTTGTCAGACTACAGGTTTGGGAGCTGGCAGAAAGGTTTTAAGTGCCCTCTGCCTGACTTTCAAGTGCATAGGGAGTAGTGTATGAAAATTACAACTACTGAGTATCTCTTAGTTTGTCTGGGCAGGCAGACACTCTTATCACTGAAAGCCATCTTCACAACTGCATGGATGGGAAAAGAAGAGAGAGGAAAAAGAGACTTTGTGGAGACTTCATGGAGAAATTCAAAGTACAGTGCAACACTGTGCATGGGAAGTATGTCAGATCTGCTGTCTTCTCCTGCCCACTGAAATGATTGTTTCCTTGCTCTATTTGGTATTGGACAAACTAATTACCTTAAAAACTGTACTTTGAATCACCATGAACAAATTTCTAAAATGAGTGGGGATTCTAAATGTCCTCAGTAAATGTGTAGTCTTTCATGGAGTCCTGTAAATGGTTATAGACACACCTGGGAAGGGCAGTTTGTTGTTCAGTTAAATCTCTGTCCTGAGGTTCCATCCTATGCTCTGGGTTGTCATTATGGGACAGGAAGACAAGGAGGAAAAAGATAGCTTTATAAATACATATTCTGCTACTTAAAGCAGGACATACTTCATGTAATATAGCCTGTATTTGTCACAGCCCATAAATCTCATTTCTAAAATGTCTCCCTAAACATAATAAGGTACAGGTGGCACTTACCATAGTCCTTTTCTCTTTCTTCAGGCTGCTTCTTGTGTCCATTTCAAAGTGTGCTTGAGGTGCCCCTTACCTCATTCAGCCATACAGACTTATGGGTTTCAGTGCAGCCTGATTCTGAGGCTCTGTCACAATCTCTTCCACAAGTGACCCCCATCCCACTATTTTTAGCCTAAAAATTGGACTGCTGTTTGAAGGACAGAGCTTTTTGTCTGGAGAAGTTCATTGGAGAAGTTCATTAGAGAAGGACCTATTCAAACACCATCCCTTGACCTTTAGTACAGATTTTTAGATAATTTTACATGAAAGTACAGCATCTGAATAGCCCTGGGGATTGAAATATATATGGGCAGAAAGACCCTGGTGAGCAAATGGGAAGTAGATACAAGAAGACAAAGGAAGACAAAGGCAGGGTAAGAGGTGGTGGTGGTGGGCTGCCCAAACACTATCTTCACTCTGTGCATGGGGTAAGTCGGGGAACATGGCATGATTTACTGTGTGCTCAGCTATAAAGCACACTGAATTCAGCTTGTGTTCAGACTGTGCCTCCCAACCCATGTGTTCATGACCCCACATACCAAGACATTCTTCTCTTTGAAGCAATGAAGAGAATAAGGCTCGGTCAATGCACACAGGCAGACAGTCAGACAAGAGTTTGCACTTGCTCTAAAAATTTCCACATTGGTTCCTTAATGAACCATAAAAAGCAATGGGCAGCTCTGCCCTTAACAAGAATAGAAACCTTGACGCTCTGCATTAAGCCACTAACTACAATTTTTTCTCATCTCATGCTTTAGAATGTCAGTCACTCCCTGCAGAGGGTAGTTATGATAATTTTCTGGCTAAGCATGGACATTGCCTACAAGATTTCGTTAATTTTTTTCCTGTAAATCACACACTGGATGAGATGAATAAGTATTTTGAAGAAGTACTACTTATCTTCTTTCTTAGGTTTGCACATGATATTACGTCTTGATCATATGACTGGAGTATACTATTAAACAAGATCTGAGACTTTGAGAAAACACTTTGATATACACATCTAACCATATATCTTGGTCATATTATTTCATTGTATTGTATTATTTTTGGCTCAGTAGGGAGGCATTTCTGTGAAGCTAAATGGCCAATAAGGTACAGAAATCCACATTGTTTATCTAATGGTCTATTTGTTCTTTAAATCTTTGAAGTGAGAAGTCTGTGGTTCTGAAAGTGCTCTTTTGAAATCAATAGCCTACTTGTGGCATTAAGTGCCACTCAACATGGATAAGTGTGACCACATGTCCTGTCATATATTTCAAAAGGAAATGTTTTAGCTGCAGATTTTAAACAGATTAGATATCCTGGAGGTAGCTCATGTTAGTAGAAAACATATCTGATGACTAAACTTAATAGCTGTTTAATTGAGTAGATTATGTGACTATAAATTTTCTTTCTTGAGTCAAATTATCAGTGCTAGTTCTAGCTGCATTATAATACACTCCTCATAAACTTGATATATTTGTCATTTAGTTGCCTGGAACATCAACTTGCAAAGAAATTACAGGTTAATTCAGATGATATAAAGCAATGTCATAGCAGAGAGATTTCCAACTAATTACTGTTTTTACTTCAGAGGCAGTATCTCCTGTGACAATTCACTCTTGAAGCAAAAGATGAGCTGAACTGTTTTCAAAAAAGTTGGAGTACATTTGACAACATGAATATCTACCTACACGATAACATGATGGCTGCAGCTATTAATGTATAATTACTTGAAAGTGTTGTTAACGTGTACTTGATGGGATTCACATTTAGGTGTGAGAAATCCTTTTAAATATACTTCACTGGTTATAAAAATACTTATAAAGTATTTTTTATCAGCTCCAGTACCACTCACTACAGCAGTTCTGGAGCTGAATGTAATTCTGACAGGCATTTTCATCAGCAAAGCATTCAACAAAAATAGATGGTTAAACAAAAAAGCGAGTGTAAGGTCCTCTGGTCTTTGGATTGCAGAACCCTGTATGTATACATCACTTTCTTGCCCAGTGAGAATCACATGAACTCAGTTAAAATCTGTGTCTTTTCTTGTCAAAATTTCATTTGCCTTTCCACAGTCTTATGAGTACTCTTAGCAACCCATAAAAGCACTTTCTGAATAAAAGTCTGAAGCACCCTTTTGTCCTCCAGCTTAACTGTGAAAAAGATGTCATTCCATATTTAGTAAACATGGACCAACTGTCAGATTAATGGATGAGTGCATGTGGTGTATGTGTATAAAAAAAGAGGTAATTTTTGTTGCCTCATTTTAGTGACATAATATAATATGTGAATGTGATTTTTTTCCCATTATTGCACATTGTAAGGACATAAAATAAATTTCCAAACTTATCAATTCTGAGAGTTGCTGAGAAAGTAACTGGCTGAAAACAGATAGTTTCAGCATTCTGGCATGTAATTCCCTTCTACAGTTTACCTTGATGGTGGATGCAACCAGAAGCAGGTATTTACCATCACAACTACTTTTTTTTAATTTCCTCCTGGTTTTTCTCAAATCATTGTAAAGGCAATAAATATGAGATGCCCCTGAACACTTCTCACCACTTAAGAACTGCAAAACCAAGTTCAGAATGACATCAGCTAGGAAAATAAAGTAATCGCTTGTAAAAAAATACACTTACTTTGCATCAATTTTAAAAACTATCTGCTTAAATTTTTGCTTCATTTGAATAACTCTGTATATAACATCTGACTGCCATTATTACTTTTTGACAGCTTTTTAAAGTACTGTGAGATTTTGTAAAATTTAATGTGGAAAATAAAACCGGAAATTTATATGAAAAACTAAGAGAGAAAAGTGTACTTTGAAAAAAATAATGTAAAAGTACAAATGCTTACCTTTGTGTTTGGGTAGCATAACTGTTATCATATGCCTCATAGCTTGGATCATCATATTCACCCCCATACCCATCATCGTATCCCTGAGGGAAAAACAGAACACAGCTTAGAAGAGTGATAAATCAAAGGATATTATCAAGCTGTGAAAATAACTTGCATCAACATATGCATGGTGTGTTTGCTCAGTATTGTGTAAAATATGTGGCTGATTGAAGAGAATTATGAATTGTGAGGCACAACCTGTACAGTGCAAGGGTAAAGAAATCAGTTACTCGTTTAAGAACTCAGCTTATTCACTGATAAACTGTGGTGCATTGTCCAAACCACAGTGCTCCAGTGGGATCTGTGTAGAATACTGATGAATGATAATAAAAATAATAATCTCCTGGCAGTCTGTTATATAAATAGTTCCATAAATACGTATAGGTGAAAGGAACAAATGGCAGGTGTATTACACTATTAAGAATGATATTGTGACAAAATCTTAATATTCAATCTATTAAAAAAAGAAAAAACAAACAAAACAAAACATAACAATCTATGAGAAACAATATTTGCAAGCAAGTAATGCATTATGTATTTTAAAATAACTTAGAGTAAACACCTTTTCCTTCACTGAGCATCCCACTCTTTTTAAAGTCAGGCTTTTCTGTGACAGCTTAACAGACATTTTAGTACAGGTTCCTCCCATCTAACTTAAGGGTCCTTACTGAAGCGCTCAGACAAATGCTCAGTCTGCCTAAGGTAGAGAGACATAAGTGACTTCAGAAGGTGGTTCAGTTCGTCTAATGTCTGAATATTCCACTGAAGGAACCATGGGTAGTTATGATCCATTGTAGCTGACTCTGAACCCAAGAGTGCTCAGGAACCAGACAATAAATAAATAAAGATATAATCCAAGGATGTCTTTTAATATGCTTTTCTTGTATGACAGGACAACAGAATAGGCAGGAAGAAGGCTGTATGGAAACACTTTTTTTTCTTCTTTATGATTTTTAGGAGTCAGTATTTTTAGTTAAATAGAAATTAAACATTTTTTTGTCATAAGAAAACCCATTAGGGAAAGTACTAAAGGAAATAGGAGTCTTAAAAATCTTTGACTCAACATTCATTACAGCAGAAGGCAACTTTTTCCCCCCACAAGCTATGCAAAATTTAGTTAGATTTGGGCAGAAGGGACAGCATGATGCAGCTCCAAAATAACAGCAGTCCAATAAACAATCACTCTTGGTACACTATCATAACCACCCAAAGTACAGTGTTGGTTTGGTACTTCATTATTTCTGCTAAATAAACTCCATAATGGTATTGAACAAGACTTCACTGGCACTCCCGAATTAAAGAAAACATTCAATGGAGGAAGCATTCAGTTATGTCTCCTTAGGTCAAACATATTAAATCTGCCTGTTCCTCTGGTGTACCCAGCAACAAGGACAAGTGTGGATTCCAGGTGGGAGAGTTCATCCCTGTAGTGCTGTATGGCCTGAAGGAAGGACAGGACTCCAGATGGTGACCTCACTTCTCAGGCACCAGGTCAGCTTGCAGTAAGGGAAAGCCTTTCTGAGAAGAGGGAGAGTCCCATTTTGGGACTGGGGAATGGCCTCTCCTAGAACCTGAAGTCCACACGAGCCTCATCATCTTCCACTTCAGGTGGAAGTGCAGTGGTTTGACTTGTTAATATTAGTAATAGTTAATATTAGTATAAACTCACAGCAAAAAGTATTGTTAAAAACATATCCCTGCACACTACAGTGATATACTGAATATTAGATAGCTACATACACAATCTTGCTTCTGAGGATAGGATGAAAGAAACAGTGAAGCCCAGGAGACAGATGTTAGCCACATGAATTAGTATGCTACTGGGCAGGATCCTGCTACTGTGAAGAAGAGGATGATGCAAGTTCCTATATAAAGTCAAATAGCTAGAGGAAAGACATTTCAGCCTGCTTACCCACCATATGAGAGAATGGGAAAAGCAACAATTACAAATTAACTCTCTCAGTTTTTTGATGCCTGAGATGGATCAATGTTCAGCATCAGCAGGGCAGAGAACACTTGTTAATATTTGACACCTCTGTGGGTTCATGTTATAGATTTTAACAGCCTCCCTAAAGGCTTAGAGTATGTCAATATAGTGCAAATGGTTCAAGTGGAATGGCTGGAAAACAGAGACAAAGTAAAAAAGCACAATATCTCTTTAATAAAGAAAAACTATTTTCTGGATAATGTTCATTTATTTGTGTAATTCTGTATGAGAATTATTTCCTAATCCTACAGGTGAAGTGTTTATGTAAGGTGCATACACGCAGTTATTAAAAGTTTAATATGGTGTATTGTACCCAGACACCTACCAAGCCTTTAAGTGTCTAGAACTGAGACCCAAAATAGCTCCTTTCACATCCTTAAAGTGTCTTAAACTCACTGAACATTTTTCTTCTCTTTAACATTCAGCTCCCCAGAACGTATGACTTTAATGTTTGAAAGTATTTCTTGGATGGGCACTTTGAGAGATGAAACACCAGCTCCCACCTGTTGAGATCAAAAGCTATGAGTTCAATGGTGTCCAAATTAACATATTTTGTGCTCTCTGTGTGACGAGAAGGGTGTTCCCAAAAGCAATTCTGTATAAACCCAGAGACCAGAACCCAAGATAACCTCTCCAAATGCAGTGCAATTTTCTGCTCAGTAATAGAGTCAGACTACTTCATGCATTCTCTAGGTCTGTTAGGCCTTATATTAAAAACAAGCAAACAAACAAACCGTATTAAATTGATAAATGTTCTTTATATATATGGTGATAGGAACAGAGCCTTTCTCTTAGAGAAACTAAGTTACTAGTACTTGCTTTACCCTCAGCATATTGAAGGAAAAAGGATTACCTACACTGTCAGTGATTTGAATAGGACATTTGTTCTTCTAAAATTTCTACAGTTTCATTTATTTCACCGGAAATCTTCACATATATATGTATAACACTTAGACATTCCCTCCTGTGTTAAGTTCTAACGCCTTTTCACTGAGGTCTGTGCTTTTCAAGCAGAAATACGCTCAGATAAAGTGTCTTTGGACATGATCTGATCCAGATCTCCACGTTAGTCAGAATATTAGAAAACTTGTATAAAAAGTTGATAGGTTCAAGCCATTTAGTTTCAGTGAAGGAGAAGAAAGCAATTCCCTACATTTTCAGAGTTCTTTGATGAGGCTAATGAGGGTGCAGATAAGCATAACCTGAGGGAAACAGCATCTTTTGAAAGTTACTGATGAATTTTGATTCTCAGGGGTATTCAAGGGAATGTGGTTGGATGCCTGGGAAGACTCTTTTCCTGTGTAGGAATGGTAGCTGCCACCACCATTCAGAATAAAAAACCTACCACAATGAACTGGAAAAAAATGCAATGGGGAACTATTAGAAATAGTCAATGTCAAATGTCAATGTCAAATGACAATAGCCATTTCTAGGGTAGGTTTTTGTGCCAGGCTATCTTTTCTCAGGTATTTCTTACTAAAACAACTTTCCCAATCATAAAAAAAACCCCAAAAAGACCTCTTCAGTTTGTGTCAGAGAAAAGGAAAGTTAGTCTTCCAATGTCTAGGATTTGGACTGGAGACAAAAGAACAGAAATGTACATTTGAAGCTGCAGTGGGACTAAGAATGTTTATAAATAATTATGGATGATTTTGAGGAATTTTGGTATTGTTAAGAGTTGAAAAATAATAACAAAAAAGATGAAAATTAAGAAAAAATTTAAAATAGAGCTCAATTTAAAAAAAAGATTTATTTGAAAATGAGCAGATATAAATATTTACCAGTCTTTCCCCATAAAGTGAAGACAGGAAAAACTCTTAGAAGAATCTCAAAACAGCATCTGAAATTAGCATTAGGAACACTCAATTCAGGAGGAAATATTCAATACTCTACTACAGATAAAGAAAATTATAGTCAGGGGCAAAAGGGGTGTAGAAGCCAAAAGGGACATATTTTGAAAAAGGCTTATATTCTACCACCTGAGAAAAAGTTAAGTATCAATTTGATTCAATACTCAAAATACCATTGAGAAGGATTTATTTTAACTATTTAGATTTACTCAAATCTTCTTAAATTTTCAGATGCTGAAAGAGATATTATAAATACAAACAAAATTTTAAGTATCATTAGTTACAAGGGTATGATAATATAACACAATCTGATCTCTTTAAACTTGAACTTACTTCATAATGTTAAGATCCTGTTTCAAACAGTAACAGTCCACACTCAAATGCACCAAGTTTAAATCACCTCTTCTTGAATAGCCTTAAAAACAGATTTTTCAGAGCACTGAAAAACTCTGTGGAACCAAGAAGGACAGTATTTCTAATACTTCTAATGAAAACTGCTTTATTCACAATATTTTGGGTATGTCCTAGCAATACATAATAAAATACATTGTAAGAAAGCTGAAACTTATTTGTTTTTTATAGAAAATAGCCCAACTTTTTTAAAAGTAGCAAATTTCAAAGTATTTAGAATTAATTGAATAGATAAATAAGCAAAACACAAACAACAGTAAGTCAAAATAAAGTGAATTATGCAACCCAGTACTTTACTTGGCAAATATGTGAACAAGAAAAATGTGCTGCTGGATAACCAGAGTAAGCCTTCTCATCAGCTGCATCCAGCAGCACACAAAAAGCAGTACTGTAGCTCATGAGGGAGAAGGCGAGGGTATAAATACCCACCTCTAATTGTAACTGTTAAGTAGAAGAAGTTTTTTCCCAGAAAAGGGACCTTTGCCGAGCTTTCAGTCTTTTCTTCACCTTGCTTCTTTGTTGCTGTCTCACTCTCTTTTCTGTTGTGACTTGGCCACATTCCTACTTTCTCACACATCCTTATCACCTTAGCTTAGAAGCTAAAAGCCAGTCGTTTACCAGTAACCTGTAACCTGGCAGTAGATTCCCATAAGACTCACAGGGTAGAAATAAAATATTTTTAGATGATAATTAATACTTTTTAGACATATCTGAAAACAAGTTGAACCGCTCTTTAAATGAGAACTTTCTTTCCAGTAACTATAAAGGGAGCCCGGGATGCATGTGTTAGATT